AGGCGTCCGCTCAGGCTGACAGCAGTCTGTCCGGGCAGCGTGGTCCCCAGTACAGAGGAGAAACGCTGTCATCAGTGGGCTGTGAAAGGGGACGAGGTCACCCTCACACGCTGAAGAGTGAAAACTGGTCATTTCTGCTGGTGACAAGGCAGCTGGTGTGGACGGGACGAGAGGAAAGGAAGCAGGTCCATGTTTACGAGACGCCTGCCAAGTGCCGGGCTCTTCCCATTTTTCAGATGAGGAAACTGAGGCTTCTGGCAAGTGGAACTGGAATGTCTGCCCCCACGGACCGGCACAGAATGCTCCTGATAGCCCCTGAGGGGGCTCCTCCCGGGAACCACCTGCTAGAAGATTCCGGGCAGCAGGCGGTAAGGCACGGCGGCGGTGTAGCGGCCCCAGTCGCTGCCGTACTTGCTGGCGCAGCGGTGCTCGTCCCGGAGGCAGCGGTGGGTCAGCAGGATGGTCATGTAGACGATGTAGAAGTAGGGCAGGAGGTGGCCCCCGCCGCAGGCCAGGCAGTACGCCAGGCTGCCCATCAGGTCGCCAGTGTAGTTGAGGTGGCGGGCCACCCCCCAGAAACCCGACACCAGCAGCTTGCTGTGGTGCTTCCGCCCGTCGGCTGACGTGTACGTGCACTCGATGGCCTTGGGCTTCCGGCCCCAGATCAGGCAGCGGCCGTCCGTGCGTCGGAATAGGTCCTTCTGGTGGTTGGCCACCCGGAAGATGTAGTAACCCGACAGGCCCAGCAGCAGGACACCCGCGGCGTGGAGCGTGGACAGCTGCACGGGGTGGTAGACCAGGTACAGGCCCTGTGGGCCGGAGGCAGAGGTCAGGCGCGGCCCCGGCCAGGCTTCGAGCTCTGGCTCTGCCCCTGACCAGCTGCCTACTTGTGGGTGCCAAGGTTTTCTCTTCTTTAAATAAAAGCACTGCCCTCAGAAGGCCGTTGTGGGGATGAAATGAGTAAATATACCAATGTATGTATCTACCTACCTACCTACCTACCTTCCTACCTGTCCATGTATCTACTTATCTACATGCACGTATATATATTATACAGAATGTAAAACACAGAATTACATATGATATTAAAAGTATATCGTAGTATAAAATACCGTTTCGATAGGTATTGTGAGGGTTAATTTTACGTGTCACCTGGGCTAGGCCACGGTACCCAGATGGTTGGTCAAACACCAGTTTCGCTCTTATGAAGGTGTTTTGGAGACGTAATCAGCATTTCCAATCAGGAGACGTGGAGGAAAGCAGACCACGCGCCACAGTGTGGGCGGGCCTCGTCTCACCAGCTGAAGGCCGTAAGAGAAAAAAAGACCAGCCTCCCTGGAACGAGAGTGTGTCGCACCAGCCCTCCCTTCAGACCCAGCGGCAATATCAACTGTTCCCTGGACCTCTAGCCAGCCATCTGCCCGGAACTTGGACTTGCCAGGACCACAGTCATAAACACACACACACACTACATAACATATATATACATAAAATCTATCGTTACTATTTTGCACGCCTTGAAAATGGAGTTCACAGAATCAGGGAACCAGTGAGTCTGCAACCAGCCAGGTGGAGAGATGGGGGCACAGGGCACCCCCGGAGGATCCAGCACAAGCACGGGAGCCCAGAACGACGGGGCTCAACCATGCTCCCTCTGCTGTGCTGTGACCCTGGCTTTGGGAAGCCACATGGGGATCAGGCAGCAAACCTCAGCCTGCATCATCACCACCTGTAGGACTGGCTCTAAGAACCACAAGCCCGCACAGCCCGGAGTCTGCCCACAGGGGTTCTCTCCATTCTTGTACAACCTGTTAAGGCAGGCATCCGGCCTGTGCTAACTAAACAGGTCCCTAGAACAAGCTCTCTCCTCGTTCCTAGGCCTCCTCAGTCACCGGTGAAACCAGCAGGTGGCACGTGGCCAGGCCCTCCAAGCGGGCACCTTACACAGGAGCCCAGCTCACCCCACAGATGAAAGCTGAGCTGCGCTCCTGGGAGCTGGGCGGGGCGGGGCGGGGCGCGAGCAGATGACGAGGCCTCTCTCATCTCAGAGTTCAGCTCAGGGCAGGAGCGAGGCAGCGGCCCAGCGCTCAAGCCCCTGGCTCTGGCTGGCGGCTCCCCGGCCAGCGTGGCCAGGCCTGCCTCAGCCTGCGCGGTGACGCACTTCCTCTCTGACCCCCTGCCCCACCCCCTCACTCAGCACACACCCTTCTCTCACCTCCCACCCCAGCACGGGTCCCACATCAACTGTTGCCCAACCGGTGTTGAGCTGTTCGTTCTCCAGCCTCCTGCCGCCCGTCACGCCCTGTGTCCCCAGCCACAAGGAACTGCGTCATGCTGTCCATGTCCTGCTCTGCTCCCCACATACCTCCCCTGACATGTGCTCTCACCCGTAAGACTCTGCACCGGCCTCTGCACTGGCCCCTCCACCTTTCTGGAATGTTCTTACCCCAGCCTATTCTGCTCAGCCCAGCTACGGCTGCCCCTGCAGCTGAGCTGGGGCGCCCCCTCCCCGTTCTGGGGGGCCTTTCCCACCAGCCGTGAGCTCCAGAGGGCAGGGCCCACCTGTCTCCTTCCCGCTGGCATCCAGGATAGACCCGGTGCCGCACAGACCCTTGTGAGGTATTTAAGGAGCAGACAAGGGTCAGAAAGACGCCCTCTTGACGGTTAGGCATTAAGGTTTGCATACGTAAGAATACAAACCTCCCTCCATCCACCAGTTCTCCCAAATCATTCCTTTTCCTCCAGTCCACTGCACACCAATTTCTCTAAGTGTAGCCAGGTCCCCCGCATTCCTATGTGGGAGCCCTGACCCCCAGGACCTCAGCATGTGGCTGTGTTTGGAAATCGGGGCTTTAAAGGGATGATTAAGGTGAAATGAGGTCACTGGGGTGGGGCCCTGATCCACTGTGACTGGGGGCCTCATAAGAGCTCAGGACACAGACACGCACAGAGGGACGACCCTGTGGGGACACAGGGAGGAGACGGCCCCGCTCCTCACCTGTAACGTGTAGAGGTACGGCAGCCAGACGCAGTCCCCCCAGCCCAAGTACCACCCGAAGTGGTCATGGCAGATGTCAATGGTTTTCAGGTACCAGGTTTCGTTCCAGAAGAAGTCCAGCACGTAGATGGCCTGCGAAACAGGAGCGGCCATGAGCACGGGCCGCGGCGGGGAGGGCCCGCTGGAAAACCTCACTCGCACAGTGGAGGTACCCGAGCTCCTTCGGTGACTTGCGCCGCTAGGCCGTTCCTCCACTTTCCACCCTGCCTGGGACACTAGGGGCGAGGGGGACGCAGACAGTCCTTGTCCTCAGAGTCTGTGGTCTGAGACAGCAAAGGAGGGCCCATAAATGATGATGGAAAGAGGGGTACCCCCGCAACATCTGGGAGCTGACGGACGCCCAGAGCTGTGGAGCTCGCAGCAGAGCGAGGTGGCCCCGGGTGGAAGGCTCGGAACAGCCCACGGGGGAGGGGGCCTCCACGCCACGGTGTATGCCAGCACGGAAGCCCTCTGCCACGGGCTGTGTGTCCCAGCATGTGCCCTGCCAGCGGCCCCTGCAGCGCCACACACATGTAACGTGACCGGCATGGCAGGTAATCGCTGTGCCCTGGGGGGTGGAGGAGACTAATACCCATTTATACAGATGGGACAAAGGTGACAATCAATCACGCTCCTCCCCCCCCCACGAGGCATCGCCCGAGACCCACAGGGATGGCGTGGGAAAACGCTCTAAGGCCCTCAGTCGTGAATGTGGCCAGGACGATGCACGGGGCCCTTCCAGAGATGTCAGAGCCGTGACGCCAGGACCAGGGACGTACTCGAGCTGTGAGCAGGCGTCCCTTGGCCAAGTCCCCCGGCCAGCGCAGTGCCTGGCACACACCAATGGGATTCGTTCACTACGTGCTCACCAGCCCGGGGCCCCAGACACGTGGGAAGGGGCCGACCCCCCTCTAAAAGCAGAGGATTAAGGTCTTTTGAAAACCACCCGGCTTTGGGGTTTTCCCAGCATCCCCACCTCCAGCCAGACGGCTACCTGCAGGACGTTGACCAGGACCATGGAGTTAGTCACGTGGCCATAGAGCTCCCGCTGCTTTGCGGCGAAGGACAGGTTGATGAGGGTCCAGGCGACGATCCCTGGGCGCCCATTGAAGAACAGCTTGAAGTCAAACCACTTCCCAATCCGCGGGTTAAACTCCACACCCATCATGTAATTGTAGAAGAAATTGCCCGTGAACTTCCTTAAAAACGTAAAGAAAAGATACGTTTAGTCGAGGAGCACAGCGCTCGCCCCGTGGCCTGGTCGGCAGCCTGGATACAGGCACTCAGCCCGGCCTCGGTGCCCAAGGCACAGGTGACCAGGGCAAGAGCTGGCGCGAGCCACAGAGGGCACGCCGCAGAGGGCGCAGCCGTCCTGCCCACTTCCCCGCGCACAGCCTGTCACTCCCTCTTCCACTCGGCTCCAGCTCAGCACGGACACCCTTAGAAAGCGGCGCTGAACCCGCTCACTCTGGTCCCGGGAAGGTGGGGACGCTGCCCCTGTGCTTAAGGCTTCCTTGGGCTGGCGCCCGCCCGGGTTTCTCTCCACCCGCCTTCAGGGTCCCTTGAGGCGCAGCACGGGCTCGGGCAACAGTGGCTTGGCTGGACCAAGATTTATCCTGCAGCCACACATGTGGTTTGAAGTGCGCTCACACGGCATTCACGCCTCCCGTGGGCAAGGGACATTATAAGTTAAGCCACGACAAGGAGTCAAAAAAAAAAAGCACCAGGCTTACAGCCAGGTGTCTGGCTCCAGGGCTCACATCTTCCCTTGAAAGACAAGTTTCTTAACCATTCATTGCCCTGGTTACCTGACCCCACAGCCCCCTCCAGGGGTGACCAGATAGCCCACGTGGAGGCCCTTGTTAGGTCTAACTTCCTGTACACACAAGGATTTCTGTGTTAATTAGAAAAACACTATCCTGTCCATTTCCTTCAAGAAAAGTAGACACAAGCAAAATATACCAAGTCTACAGCAGGCGTCACGATTGTCGAGCAGCGAAATTGACTTCCATGAGCCATAAACAAGCCTCATTGTCTGAGAATCACACAAGCTACGAAGCACCAGCATCCAGACATTTCCCAAGAGACGAGGTGCAAGAGTTAAAGGGAACACGCTCTGTTTTCATTTGGGTCCCAGACCCAAATGAAAAATGGAAGCACCCCAACAACAAGAATCTTGTCCACGCCTAAAGCCCCACGCCTACACCTGTCTACAGGAGGAACCCAACCAACGTGTGGGAAGGAGGAGAGCGGGAATGAAGGGAGGGAGGGAGGGGTGGATGGGTGGATGGGAGGATAGATGGGTAGACGATGGATGGATGACAACAACCCAACCCAGGCCCCCATGAGCGTGGCACCGCCAGCAGGACTCTCCCTGGGAAGCTGCTGCATTAAAGCTGCTGAAATAACAAGACTCCTAAGACTGTTGTGGCCACACTGATGTACCGGAAGGAGAGGTGCTGGGCTGCCTTTGCCGTCCCGGCCAGAAGTTGCCTGTCCCACCTCCCTGTTCCCACAACAGCCCCCCACGGGATGACTCTGCCACCAAAGGCCAACCTGACCACCTCCCACGGCACCCTTCCTAAGGCAGAAGCCACCCGGACAATGAGAAAAGATGCTCCTCTGAGTCAAGCAAGTTCCATCAAGCTCCTCCATCAAGGACTGTCATCCTCGGGGTCGCCCAGCTCCTAACCCCAAGGTCACAGAAAAGGAAAGGGGTGGACGCGCTCCCACTTTGCAGCAGCCGCTGCGGGGCGTACCGGTCTCTGGCGCTGGTGGGGAAGCAATAGCCCTTGACCATGGCGAAGGTGGAGACGGCGTAGCCCAGGACGTTGGCGCACCACAGCAGCGGGATCCAGTGGTCGAAGATGACGGTGGGCGAGAACCAGGACAGGAGGTGGGCGTTCGTGAACCAGAGCGCGTGTGTGATGAGCCACGCCTGCAGGCCGTTGATTTCATACTTGTTGACGACCCCTGCGGAGGAAAGATGCAAAAATCAAAGCGTGTTCCCGACCGTAACAGCAGCTGGCTCGGGCGCCACCTGTTTTCGGGGGCTCAGCTGCTCAGGCCCTTGTCGAGGGCACCCCGGCTCAAACCCAGAAAGCGGGTGAGCTTCTTCTACAAGTCTGGGTCAAAACGCCAGGCGTGCAGCTCACACTGCTAATCTAGGGACTAACTGCTTCTGCCAGCCGAGTCTGGGCAAAGGAAAGGGGCACAGCTGATGCCTTTGGTTCTGACTCTCCTGACCTGGCCATGAAACCGGCACTTAACGATAGACGTGGTGAGGTCTTAGATCACGGAGTCGAGAGATGGACGGGTAACTAAACATCAGTTACGACTAGATGGAGCCATGTTTCAGTCCCTTTGGTTGTCACGTAGCTTATGGTCAAAGGTCAAGCACGTTATTCATGTCCTGGAGGCCTGCCCGTAAAGCAAGCTCCAGAAAAAAATATTTAAAAGGACACCTTGCTCGAGATAACAGAAAAATGTAGCTAGTTAAGCAGACACAAAGGTCACATGACGTTTAGCTTCTGCCTTTTGTTTAAAGATAACGCCACTGGCGCGCGGTCATGAGATGTTCTGCAGGGTCTTGGCTCCTCCCCCGTTCAATCACCCGACCAGTCAGGAGGGCTCCAGCTAAGACAATACCAGGAACTAAATTAATCAGACAAAGAAAACCACTAATGCGCAGAAACTAACCAAACAGCTTCACCCGTGACCCTCAAAACCCGATTAAAAGCCATCAGGGAGCTGGGGTTTGAAGCCATAGCCTCCCGTTCTCCATGTTTGGTGCCCTGCAGATAAACGGCGCTGATTACTCTACCACAAACCTCGGCGCTCATGTGTGACAGGCCCTCGTTCGGTTCGGTCACAACCAGGGGCTCAGTAACCTTAGTTTGGGGCTGGGCTGCAGCAGGAATGCAGCAAGGAGGCCTTGGGGGGCTTGTCGGGGAGCCCTGGACCCCCCATAGGACCCGGACCAGGGCTCTCTATAAGCAGGGAAGGGGGAGCTTCCACCTGCTGGGGTCCCGGGTTCTCAGACGCTGTGGGGAACAAATGCATCAGGCAGCAGCTCCCTAACCAAGGCCGCTCCCCAGACGCCAGTGGGGACAGGCTCCATTAGCCCAGTTACAGCAACCGGACGTGGGGCCAGGGGCCATTCAGGTCCCTCTTTATGGAAGAACATGCTCTTCAACCTCGCGTCCAGGACAGTCCCAGGCTGCCCTCAGGTGTCACGAGGCCAGGCGCTTGGGAAGCTCCCCAGCACAACTCACGTGCCGGTAAGCAGGCTTTGGACAGAAGCACAGGGAAGGGCCGGACCGCAGGGATGAAGGGCAGGGCACAGCTGGCGGCAGGTGGGCGACAAGGGGCGGCCGCGGCTGGCCCGGGAGGTTACCTGCGGGAGTCACGGCGCCCTCCTGAACGCCTCCCACGTAGCCCGGCAGAAACTTATGGCAGAAGTCAGGAAGTGACACGTACAAAAGCACCTGAAACAGAGATTTTCAGCTCAATTACCGGTGGCCTGGAGGGCCCGGCTGTGAAGGCACAGCCTCGCTCTTATCAGCGGAGGTGACAGACGTGAAGACACCGATCAAATGCGAGAAGTCCGATTGTGCCCGGTTGCTTTTTCCAGAAGTCTGTAGCTGTGGGTGGGAGCTGCGGCCGCAGGCTGACTGTGGGCTTCGAAGAGATGCCCGGACAGAAGACCGGCAGTCTGAGCACCAAAGCCCTCTCCCCGTGGGGGCTCATTCATGCCCCTCAGAGGAGCCCCTGAGTCCTCCCCCCTCACTTTTTTGGGGCCATTTTAAAAAAAGTGAGGTACCATTCACATACCATAAAATGCATCCTTTTAAGGAGCACAATTCAGAGGTATCCAGCCCAGTCACAAGGCTGTACAACCATCACTACTTCCCAGTTCCAGAACCTTCTACCACCCCAAAAGGGAACCACGAACCCGTTAACAAGCCACTCCCCCTCCCCTCCCCCCAGCTCCTGACAACCACACGTCTGCTTTCTGTCTGCTTTCTGTCTCCACGGATTTGCCTGTTCTGGGCTTTTCATGTAAATGGAATCCTACTGGGTTTGTCCTTTTGTAACTGGTTTCTTTCGCTCAGCATAATGTCCTCAAGGTCCCCCGACATGGTATAAGAGCCCCATTCCTTTTTATGTCTGGATGACACTCTACCTTCTACTGCATGGATACAGCACACTTGTGTGTCGGGTCACCCATCAGTGGACACTTGGGTGGCTTCCACTTTTAGGCCACGGTGACTCTTGGCTCCTCATGGTCACTTTTTACCCAAAGGGACCAAGAGATCCGACATGAGAAGGATGAGGGCTCTGGGGAGAAACAGCTAACGAGGCCAGAGCCGACCTCCAGGGCAAGAAAGCCCCAGGGGTGCCTTCTCCCAGCTGTTTCCCTGGAAACTACCGGATTCAGATAATAAATAACAGGGTCACCGTGCAAACAACCCTTTCCTGGCCGGTGGGGTCTCAACAGAGCTGAGGACATCCTTGGCCAGGACCGGCCCCCAGCTGGGAGCACAGGCCTTGGCTTTGCCACCGAGTGTCCCCCTGGGGTGGGTGCCCCTTCCCACGGGCTGCCACAGGGTACGATCCTTGCTGTGGACAGGGCTGCCTGGGCGGCCGTGCCCTCCCCCCTCCCTTGGGTCTGGCTCCCCAAAGCTTGGCCTGAGCCTGCTGGTCCGGGCACCTCCGGAGCTGCGGGAGGCTCACTGTAGGTGCGACAGACACCGTGCTGCCACCAGCTGCAACCTGCCCTCCATCTGAGGAGGAGGCCAAGTCCACCTGGCTCCAGGTGCTGTGCTGCTGGGTCCCGGGAACGAGCCTGCCAAGCTGAGCCCGGACTCCATCTCCCAGACCAACGGCCAGGACCATGCTGGCAGGAGGGGACGCCCCGCACCCACTGCGCCCTGACCACGGCGGCCGCAAGGGCTGACCTGGAATGTGACCCACAAGGTGTAGAGCTGGGCCGCTTCCCTCGTCACGGATGGCGTCTTGGCCCAGATGTCTGAGAGTCGAGCACGCCCGCTGGCGAGGTCCAGCACCGGAGCGGTCAGCGAGCAGCTGTACTGGTCACACGCCATGATGAAGAAGTAGACGATGAAGGGTGCGAACAGCAGCAGGAAGAGGACGCTCGCCAAGGAAAACCAGTCCACCTCCCTGGAAGGGGCGGCAGACAGTCCCATCAGGCCCCGTGCCTCTGACCTCGCAAGCACGACGCTGAGCTGTGCATACGGGTCCCCTTGTCGAGCCGGCCAGCACCTCATGACAGAAGGTGCCACCTCTGAGGGCACAAGTCTCCCTGGTGCCAGGGGAACCACTTACCACACACTCTCGACCCAGGTCATCGGGAGGGTCATTGATCCGTGGGCCCCACAGGAAGCCCGGGCCCACAAGAGGCCGCAGTCAGGCCTTTTCTGACCCACAGGCCAGAGGATTCCGGCTGCGGGTCGTGGGGGACGCGCGTCCACGCCCCAGTCCCCATCGCTGAATGGCCCGGGAGAACCACGGCAGCAATGAACCACAGAGCTGCGGCACCAGCTGGCCCCTAAGCGCATGCTTAGCGTCTTTGTTTAATCCCTTCCTTTATAAAATGGGAAGCTGCTTACCTTTCATCAGTCTTGACAACGAAAAATTTTTACTAGGCCCCTGCAATCCCAAAGGCTGGCATCCCCTCACTAAGACCCCCCATCCCACCATTTCCAGGTGGGAAGGTGGACGAGATCTTACCAGGCACGGCCCCACTGGCCTTGAGTCGCGGTCCCGCCATTGGCCACGCTGCCTGGACTCTTGGTTTTGGGAGCGTTGGGCTGGTATTTCGCAGCCATCGGGCCCTGAGGGAAGGAGAGACACCCTGCTCAGGCAGTCCCAGGAAGAACGGACGCCACATCCACCGCGGCTCAGGGGCCCTGCTGGGCTGGCCTCCGTCGCTCACCTTCTCTCGACCTTGTCCCGCGCAGCAGATTCCTGGCAGGGGAGAGCCCACCACCCCGAGACCCTCTCCTGGAACCCGTGACAACTTCCCACCTGCCTTCCTGCGTCTGCTCCTGCTCGTCTCAATCCTCCTCCCAATGGCGGCCGAACTGCCCTTCTCGCCGCGTGGACCGGGCCATAGCGGCTCAGAGCCCTCTCCGGGTCTGCCCCCGCCTCCCCTCCGTGTTCTCCCCTCGTACCCTCTGCTCCAGGCACAGAACGATCTTTACCGAAACTGAATATGGCTCATCGTGTTCGTGACACCCACGACTCCTCGGCTGAGAACACGCTTTGCAGGCGCCCCCGTTTCGGTCTCATGGAAGCGATCTCGCCTCAACATGACGGTTCATGTTTCTGTTATTATGTGTCCTCTTTATTAGCAGCTATGGTTTCCGTGCACTCTTTCTCAGGATGCTCTAACAGAGCTGCCATGCACATCGACAATTTTCCCACGCGTTCTAACACAACCAGACGCGTCGGCTCCACTCTGCCTCCCCCTCAGCGACCCTTGTCCCAAGGATCGGGCCGGCCAGCCAGTCGACACAGCTCGCAGCCCAGGCGCCCTGCCAAGGCGCCCTACCTGCTACTTTACTTTCTTAATAACTCTTCTCACCATTTCCTTTATTACAAGTATCTCCTTTATTTCAGTGCACATCTGTCTGTCTGTCTGTCTGTCTGTGCCACTAGGATATAAGCTCCCCGAGGCCTGGAATCATGGGTCTTGGTCATCACTCTACTGCCAGGGCCTGGAGTGTCCGGTACATACAGGTGGTCAGCAAATGACCACTCTACAAGAAAAGGAGGAGGAACTGCACTTGTCTGTGTATCTACACTGCTCTAAACGGCTATAATATCGGGGAGCAGTGACACCCCCACTCCCGGAGCAAGTTCATAATTGTGAAGGTTCAAAATATCAGGGATGAAAAGGCGACAATCATAAAAACTTTCAGAGAAAACGCAGGATTAAGAATCATGCTAACA